TCTTTCAGCATTTATAGAAAGCCCAGCCAGAGCTGTAGATCATGTGCCCAGACTTGGCCAAACTTCCACATCATGCACTCTCACCACCTGAATAAGCATGTCTCGTGAACTGCTGACTGTCGGTTTTCCTCCCAAGGTGCCTCTCCTCCTGTGAGCAGGAGCAATGTGTGCACTGAGAACAGGCTCACTTGCTTCAATCTCTGCCCCTCCAAAAAAATAAAAGCTAAATGGAATTGTTTAATTTATTAGCTAAAAAAAAAACCAACCCAACTAATTGTATGTTTTAAATTAAGTAGGAATTTCAATGGAATTGAAAGCTCAATGGTTTTGGTCCCCGAGGTCAACATTTTCAAAACTGGTAGTTATCTTTAAGAAGCAGCTATCTCCCTTGAGCTGGAAGTAGTTTCTCAGTGACCTTTAGTTTTCATACGATATCCCTAAAGAGGTCATAGCAGGAGAAAGCCTCCTTCAGTATGGCTTTGCTGGAATGTAGCCATCAAAGAGTCAGAGGATACAAAGGATCCTTGGGCCAATGCAAAAGTATAGAGCTTTTGTGCAGATGGTCCTGGCTTCCAACTGGTCCCTCCAGATCCACTGAGCCAATCCAACAATTAGAGGAAAATATTCAGAAAGCAGAACCTCACAGAGTTTCTCTCACCCATCTGCTCCTACAGACTCTGCAACAGGAGGAAATCTGGCTTGGGTAACAGAAGAAGGTGGAAATGGATTGAACAGGGTTCAGAAAGGGCCAGAAGTTCAACCCAAAATGCAACCAAACTGTGAGAGAGTCTGGAAAGGATTGGGAAAAAAACCCATACATTGGAAAAATATAAAAAGTCCCAGCTGTAGAGGGTTTAGAGATCTCAAAGCCAAAGCAAGAAAAGCCAAAATCATGCTTTCTTCTCCTGCATGACCTCAGAACGCAAAATACACTGTCCGTTCAATTAAATTAAGAGAATCCTTTTGTGTCTGTATATGTTTGAGTACTGTATGTGTTTGTATGTCCTGAATGGTCACGCATACAGAAATATTTCTGTATAAGTGAATGTTTATTCCTGCCAAAACATATTACATTCATGGACAATAGAAAATCTTCATAGACTGTGTATTTTTGAACGTTTGAATTTTCTACTATCACCCAATGCAATATAACCCTCTCCTGTTTATACTCTCTGTATAGTACTTTCCAGGTTCATCTTAAATAGGCAGGTTGGCTTAAATAACTACAGCTTTTAGGACTTGACCTAGTGCCAGCCAAATTCAATGCAAACGTTCAAGTGACATCAATCTCCTTTGAACTCAGCTTTCCATGCAATTTGTATATATTTGAAGGAGGGATCGTTTTTGCTTGAAAGGTTGCTAGTGCTTAATGTAGCTTGCATTGTCTTTTTAAAGTAAGACAATCAAATCACATAATGTAATTCATCTACATTATTAGCCTTCCCCAAAGACAAAGCACAGGCTAGACACTGAGACTTGAGAGGCTGGTGAGAGAAAAAACTGCCTTCAAATTAGCATTAGCAGATATAAGAGGGGGGGAGGTAAAGTGAGGAAGTGCTCACTCTAACTTATATGCATGATGATGGTATGTGCTTGCATGTTTTACAAGGGCAGTGAAGCAGAGTTGGGCAAGGTAGGGTTAGTTGCTGTAATCAAGACCAGAGGATTACTTTAATACCAAAGGCAGCACTGTCAACTCTCCCGACCTTATTACCAGTCTTTACGCAGGAAGTTGTTTTGTTTGGCTTGGCTCCTGAAATAGAACAATTTAATGAAAATCTCATTTTTCAATAAAAATGAGGAGAACCTGAACTGGGGAATCAACTGTGAGACCTTAAAGCTTGGCAAGTTAGATGGCAAACTACAACTTTTCATTTCTACCATTTTATTATCTCACAAGTTTTAGTTAAATGTGCTTTATGACTTGCTTGGACTTCACATACGGTTTGTGAACACAGGGCAAAGGCAATGCTGAATATATAGTAGGGTCAGTGGGCTGCTACAGCAAGAATAGCATTCACTTTCAGAGCTGGTGCTCAGTGTGTTTAATGTCTGTATGCTAGTGAGTTCTTGAGAAAAATCCTCATTTTTCTTTGGATTCAATCCGCAGCTCCCAGTCTAACAAACAAAGAAACAAAACCCCTCCAGTTCTCTTCAACTAGAAACACCTAAAAATCCCACTCCTTTCAACAAAACCACAGAACCCCTGCTTTTGTCACATAAAACGTACTTTAACCAGACTGAGGCATATTAGGGAAAGGGAATTTAAAACTTCACAGTGAAGACCAGTGTCTTTGGTCTGCTAGCAAAGAAAATTGCTTTGATTTAAGAAATAATATCACAAAGGACTTCACGGCAAATATTCTCCACATGTGCAGCAGGGTGTGTGCTGTGTCCCTTCTGTTCAGTACAGAGACAACATGAGCTTTAGCAGTAGAAATAAATATTTGCAGATCCAAAGGCCCCTAATTTTGGACAAGGTGCCTGTATTAGAAGTCCTAATTTAGCACACTGTGACTTCACTGAGACTTGAGCACAAAAGAGATGCTAGAGCCCTAACATGTAAGTAAGAGACAAATTTCAATGGCTCATGTGGCTTTTGATCAAACTTTTAGTGTCTGAATTATATGGTAAGAACACCCATTGGCTTCAAAGACAAAAGTTGGGCCCCTCAAACACAAAGTTCAAAGGACTTTCAAGCTGCCATGGCAGATCTTCTTTAGCACCTTACTCAATCGTGTCTAGATTTTATTCCTCACCTTGAAATATTATACTGATAGACAAGCTATGTGCAGTACAGAAATACATATTAGATTCAGTTTTGTGAAATGAATGTATACAGCTTAAATTAAAAAGCTCTAGGCCTTTAAGAACATTCAAGGATGGCTTCAGCAGGTCATGTAAGATCTTGCTGCAGACACAGGAGTATTTTCTATTCCTTTCACAAAACACAATACACAAATCTTTAATACTAGATGCACTGTACGACGCAGTACTGAATGATTACTGAGGGAAGGACATGAACTCTTAATCCTAGCAATGAAATAGTGCTTAGTCTTTGGCACTTTCACACAGAGTAGCAGCTCAGAGAGAAATTTAGTATCACTAATTTTACCTTGAACATAAAGGTTTAAGAGTTACCTGGTTTGGGGAAAGAAACTTCAAGCTGTTTTGATATGATGAATGTAAGATAAAAAGTACGCGTTTTCCATGCGAGGCAATCAGTCATTAAATTATCCCATAGACGAGTGCATTAGCCATCTAATCTGTAGTCACGGTGGTGTATCCCTCAATAACAATGATATGCCACTATGACTTCTTAAAATGACTTTCTACTAGTCAGAGAATAAATCACATCCTGGATTGAGAGCCCATCCTGAGATTACCTGACTAAAATTTTTAGTTTCAACACCATTCTTGAAGACAAAGCTGAATCTACACTAACACTGAGAAACAGGCAACACAAAACTTCTAAGGTGCACACAATGCAATGGATCTCATGTTATTTTTCCTCGATGTCTCTTGTTTTTGTAGACCTAACCATATATGAAAACATTAAAACACAACCTCTGAGCTCAAACCTACTTCCAAAACTGCCAAGGATAAAACTGTTACTGAATCACTCTGTTCTGTTTATCAAATTAACATACTTTTTTTTTTAATGAAAAAAAAAATGCTAGATTGCATGTGTAACATAATAGAACCAGCAAGCACTGCCAGCAGGTCTGAGGAAGAGAGAATAATTCAGAGATATTGTCATCTGTAGGCCAATTTATATTGTCAGACAGCAGGTTCACATTAGCCTCTGATGTCACTGCAATAATGGCATAATGTAACGATTGAGCAAAGAATACCTGTGGGGTATAGCTATACAGTCTGGTGTATCTATACTTGTTAAAGTATTTCAGGATTCATTCAAAGCAGAGCCAGAAGAAGAAAAAGACCAGGATTAAAAGAAAACTGGGAAAATGGTGTTCATAAAGACTTCTGAATATTTTAGCTCTTGTTTTGTGATGATGAAGCAAGCACAATGTTGTATTTCATTGATTCACTGGGTTCATGATTAAAATAAACTAATGTAGCAATTTAGGGGTTTTGTGCTTCCTTTTTTTTTCCCCCCTCTAACAAGAAAAAAAGCTTTTTAACAGTTTCTCGCGGCAGGCATAATGTGCATCTGTGCTCTGATTTACTGCACATGCTGCCTTCTCTAGCATCATGTTAAGTTAGGGTATCAGCATGGTAGGTCACACAGTGGGAGTGACCTTTTGCTAATCACTACACATCAGTTACTACTGGCACACAGCTCATTACTAAGAAACCCTCCAACTAGCTGGCTTTCAAATCCGCTCCCACTTTGATTTTTTTCCCCCCTCTTTCTTTCTTTTTCCTCCAGACTAAAGATTATACTTTTACATAAAATCTTCTGTTGTGTAATTTTGTCAACTAGGGTTCCAATGTCAGAAAGGCACCCAGTTAATTTTCCATGATTATAAAAGGAGCTTGAAAATTCATACTGAAGGTAGGCCTGTAATCTTGGGTTTCATTAAAAAGGTCAGAACATTTTTACTCACCACCTATTATTAAAATGTTTGAGGGCTGCCATTAATTTGATTTTTCAGGACACAGAAATCTCACTGGAAATCAGAATGTAATCCTGCTGTTGCTTTACTGGCACTTTTCATAGGGTAGGATATGGCAGCAGGGACTAAAAGCTCTCCTGCAATTTACAATTGGTTACTTTGGACAAATGGCAGGTGACTAATGCAAGACAAACTGTTTGCACAACCTGGGAGCACTGGGTTTAATTTCAGTTTCTGAAAGAGGGGAGAAAGTGTTTCTATTGACGTTGAACTGCGAGCTGTCCCCTGCCAATACATCTGCCACATTGAATACACAACACGCCCCTCCACCCCCGACAATGTGATTATTAGATGTACAGAATTCAATAGCTTAAGAATACAAAACATAGCTGGAGCAAAACGAAATGGTTTTTAACTCACCGGCCATTTGCTGAATGCCGCTGAAGGCACCCAAGTTACTGGAGGAAGTTGCCTGCTGCAGAAGCTGCAAATTAACAACACAAGACAGCAGTCTATCTGACATTAATGTAACAAATGAAGATAAAACTAAAATGAGCTATCATTTCACATTTAGAGTATTTATGCTTTCCTTTACATTTATATAGTCTCTTGCTTCTGTCTATTGTTGGAAAGAACATCCCTAGAGTCAATGCTGTAAATCCATATTAATGTCTAATCTCTATTAAGAAACACAGAGACACAAGGGAAACTCAATAACATGGCTGCTTTAAAACAATTAATCAATTTATTCTTTTTAACAACCAGGTGTTAAATCTATTTAAACCAACATAGTGTGACTAATTACAACCCTCTGTAGTCTAGTAGTTACCATAACTCATCTCTGTCAATCACGGTCCATTCTCCCCCACCCTCCTGAATTCTGCTTTTTCTTTATTATCTTTATGAATCAAGCACACAGATATTCATCAGACTGGTATTTGTATATAACAGTTTAGCCTACCTCTGTATTAATTAGCCTACTTTGGTGCTAACATATATTTTTAATTGCCAGGTAAATTGCTGTTTACAATTATGTCACTATACCAAAGCATTGTATGCATACAAATTACGTATTTACACATACACAGTACATGTATATGGACACATCCATTTGTCTAACTTGGAAACATCAGGAACTTCCAAATTATCCAAAAGCTGCTCAGCCAGACCTCTCAGCTGCAAGGCCACTAAAGGCAGAGGCTCCCTCTCAAGTGCAGGGAGTCTCTCTTGGCCATCTAGGACGTAAGAAATGTGCTGTGGGTTTCAGATTTCTCCAACAGGGGCAGCATCCAACATCTCTTTTTCATCTTACAAACGGACCAAAGAAAATGCCATTTTAAATCTATGAGAAGCAACTGGCTTTCCCCTGCCATCTTCACTTTCTGTATGAGGTAGTGTGAACCATCCATGTTCAGCGCTGACAAGACCACGCATTGAACTGAAACCCATTTCCAAATGAAAATGTGGAAAATTAGGGGACTGAGCCACAACATTCTGGTTTTGAGGCTGCACCATATAGATATGGCCCTTCCGGTGTTCAGCTGCCTATGTGTTCTCCCCTAAGGAAGAATGTAAATTTTATTCCAGCTATAAAACCCAGACTCTAACATTCAAAAGAACAATAAAACTAATGGAATCAGATTTTATTTTGCAGCACGAGTCAAGTGTAAATGCTTGTCTTGGACAGCACTGACACATCTTGAAATGTTTATTCAATTTCTATTCCTTGGTATTTATTTTGAGACCATGTGATAAATATACAGAGTTTTTTATATAGAAGACATGCTACCTATCCTGGAGGACTTAGCAATTTATTGCAGGGAGTTTATATATAGTTTACAGCTGATTTACCATGGTTCTAAAATGAATACAGTATAATATAGCCACCACCTCTGAAAGGAACTTACAGCTAGATACTGTGGTGTGAGTCCTCCAAGACCTGTGAGGTTTCCCCAAGTGGCAGTATTGAGCTGTTGCATCTGCTGTGCCAACTGCTGCTGCAAACGCCGCTGCTCCTTGTCCTTTTGGGTATCAGCAAACTTCACCACGATTGGCGAAGAGCAGCCCTGTGGTTAGACAGATGGGGAAAGACAGAAGCGTTAAATCACACCGAGTCACCCTCGCATCGTGAGCTCAGCCGTGCCCCGTCGGGCCACCGGCAACGGCATGACCTGATCGCTCACCCTCTCAATGTGATTCACATAACGTAGGAGCTCAAGGACTAAGATTTTCAGCTTCTTAGGAAAAGAGGCTATGGAGAAATTATTGATTCCCCAGTTCTTTTTATAAAGCACCTTTCCTCAGGCTCTCTTCTCCTTCCAGCTATCAAAATTGCTGCCAGAGACAGCAAAGTGTACCAGTCCTCTTTAATTAAGCTTCACAGCTGATGAGATGGACATGATGCTTTGTCTGCAGTCTGTTTTCAAGGCATCGCCAAAGGGAGAGGTGTCCAACCTCCCTGCTGCCAGGGACCACACAGCCAACACCGCCCTGCCACCACAGTCTGGCTGTGCAGTCATGCTCAGTGCAGCTGGCTTGTGTGCCTCATGTAAATAGACTGTGAGCAACAGATTTACTCCAGTGCCCATAATCAGGAGGTCGCTGGTCCTTTTCATATCAAGGAGCCCCGGTCTGAAATGAGCACAAAGGGTGATGCTGCTAGGACAATTCACCCACCTGCGGTCTGCTCCCAGGCACGCTTTGTATCAAGCACCCTTGAGATGTGAACAAAGGGCAGGATGCAGACCAAAAATTACTAGTTCTGGTGATAGCAGCCCATTCCTGACAGACACCATTTCTTCTATTGCTTCTATGAGCCTCTTGCTACTTGACATGGGAGGGCTGTAAGACACCTTAGGAAACAGGGAAGTTGTAAGAAAGAACTAGAGATCTGGTCTGCAGCCTCTCCTCACCCATGTCTGAGGGACCTTTGAGAAGAAGCAGGAGGTCATGGACCAGAAGGGTTTTTGAGGTAAGCTGGATATTTCCCTTGAACTTCAGACTGGGTACTCCTGGACAAAGTCACTGAGAGAATGAGACATGTAAATATAAAAGATGCCTCTTGCTTTCATTCTATTTTTTTTTCCCTTTAAAATTTTTTCCATATTTTAACCTTTCAAGTGATCATTTTTTCACATCAAGGGAGCAAACTATATACTGCAATGATTCAGTTCTTCAAATTAATTCAAGCATTTTGTGAGTCACAGAAACTGTCAATCCATTTCATACTCTTTTCCAACTTCATAGGATTCAATGAATAACTTCCCTCCACCCGCAGTGCTTTGTTATACTAATTTCTTGTCTATCTTCAATCTGAACACAATGGCAGGAGTGAAAGGTGACTCAAGCCCAAAAAACACAGCAGTGGTTTAGCCGAAGTGTACAGTGTGGGATGTGAAGCAGGGTTATACTTAATCTCTTCCCATGGCTGCTCTCACAACACCGGGAACATCTTCAGAACAGGTCCTGCCCTCTATTTCTTAGAAAAATCACCTGTGCACCTTTTCTCTGAAGAACTTCACACCAGGACAAATGGTAAGAATATTCACAATCAACAGATGAAATGATGAAATAAACCTCAATAATAATATCTCTCGTATGAAGATCTCCCATCAATACTGTTCCTTTAGAATTAATTTAGAAAAATCATCACTTGTGATTCATTATTCCACCTCCAACTCCTTTCCCATGTGATTCATTGTAAAAATGTCTTTCCATGTTTCAGTGAGGAAGAAAGGAGATACGTGCCACTCCAGCAATCAAATAAAGATTATGAAGGAGTTGGCTTGTTACACAATTACCTCTCTCTAGTGATTTTTATACTAATATTAAAAACAAGATCCCTTAAAAAAAGAAAGAAAGGGAGGGGGGTGGTGAAAGGTGTGAGGAAAGTTTTTCTGGTTTTTCTAACAAAAAAATTCAAGCTGTTTCCATTTAACATGAGGTTTGGTAGCACTGAGCTAAAACCAGCCAGAACTTCCTGCCTTCTACCTGGATGTACAGGAGAATCAAGTCTAATTCCAAAGAAATAGAAATTAATTTCAAAGGAAGAAAGATTATATGGCTATTTTAGTTCTTGATTCAGCAGCTCAGCACTCAATACTACAGCTGACATCTTATTTATGAATGCTTAAATGTCAGTAAATTGTATAAAAACAATATCTCTGCAATTTATGAATCTATAATTCATTTTTTCGCTGCCTGTTCTATATTTCATCACTTCATCATTTTCAAGAAAGCAAACATTCTGAAGACTGAAATTATATGTAGCAAGTGGCTCTCTATGAGAAAAGGGTTGTTATTGTTGCATCAAATTTACTCCGTGATAACAAATTAGTGTCTTCTGCTGGTGCTGCATTCGAATGCCTCAGACAAACAAAAAAACCTCCATAGAAATGAGACAGAAGAGCAAAAACTGTAGAGCAGCAATTATGTTTTTAAAATCAGTTGATTTAACCAGGTCAGAAAGTCAGGTGGAAAGAGTAATAAGAGAATTCATTATTCTGTGAGACATGTTCATCTGTATTTAACATCCCCATTGTTCGTTCTTTGAAAATTCATCTTGGTCAATGATGTGTGCCAAAGAACTCAAAATAATGAAATCAGAGCAAAACCTCTGCAGTAATTGGGTTGAAATGTTATTGTGTACTACATGTTGTGCCCAGCCCACTTTTGTTTGCAAAAACACCATGAAACAAAAGTGTCTAAGGACCACTGGGTCAGGTTGAGAGCTGAGATTTAACACCAGCGAACCCAAGTTATCTTTTTATTAGGAGAGTATTGGCAAAAGTGTGCAGTTTCTTTTTTTTTACCCCTTAAAGGGTGACTTCTGTTTTATGTTCTTCCATTTTCTATCTCGAGAGGAAGCTCCCAGCCCGTACACAAGGTGCATCTCCCTTCCTCATTCAATGGCTTGGTATCTCCATGCCATTTATTGCCATTTTGTTTCCAACGGCTGGTCTTGCCTTCCTATTTTCCATTGTATTGCCAAGACAGTAGGTACAGACTCCGCTGAGTCCCTCACCCATGGAGCTGGAGGGTGAACTGGTTGTCTCCAAGAGGGGACTCTCAGCCTATGCTCAACTAACACAAAGACCAAAATGTTCACAGTGCAAACTATTTGGAATCATCTGGCCAATTTGGGGATCTCACTGCTGACATCTCTAAAGGTGTTGAGAAGCATTTTGATCCAAGAGTAGCTATTCTATAGAACTAATGTCAACAGGAGCATCACATCAAAACGCAGCCTCTTTTGGAGTGCTGCATACAACAGAAGAATGAAAGAAATGTCTCTGGGAGGTAATACCTCTTTAATTTTACCATCTTCTGAAGTAGAGCTGTGCAAAATTCATTTTGCTAGGCAGAAAAATACATTAAAACACATGGAAAATATAGGTAAAACACAGTATTACCAATAAACATTTCCTTTTTACTTGGAATCAAACCCAGCAAAACACATAGGTCTGAATTAATGGAGCAGTGCATGGCAGACGAATTACTACGAGTATTATTTCAAAGACTCAAAGTGGCAGTTTTTTTGCAATATACTGTCAGACTGCATAAGACTGTGTAACAGCAGCTTTCTAGTAAAGATCAGTTCAATTATTCTCATCTCATTGGCAGATTCTCATCTAAAACTGTATACTCAGGGTCTAAAAATGCATTGCACTGAAAAGAAAACACATCAATTATAAAAGAAGCTCAACCAAATTCAAACGTGATGTTTGGAAAGACAATAGCTTTGCAATGCTGATATCATTACTTGTAGTATACAGGAAACAGTTGGTGACATTTTCATGCACTGGCTTGATTTTTAGCTTCTCCTCCTTCTCCTCTGTCCACCCTCCCACCCCTGGTGTCCCCCCTTGGCTCATTACACAAAGCAGCTCAACGACATGACGCAATAATGATTGTTTAGCACCCAGCATGCTTTGGGAGACTAGAGCATTGCAAAGAAAAATCACTGAGAAAAATAAGAAATCAAATAAAATTGAAAGGTCCTGGTGGAAAAGAAAAGAAATAAAAATAAAAAGAAATAAAAAAAAAAGAAACAAGTGCACATAACATCAATGCCACCTCTGAGAAAAATCATCACTACACGAAGATACAGTATACATAATACAGTATAACATGCACTCTCCAATGATAAGCTACAAGATCCAGAGTAAGTAAAGACTTCATACTTGTGCGGGTTTTTGTGCAAAATTCTGAAAGACCATGACAAAAATCACAGACTGAAAAAAGTTTTGAGATTGCCAGACAAGCCGTGGCATTCAATAACCACTCCAACTCCTGCGGCTATAGTCACATTAAGTGAACAGGTTTAAAGTTTCGTGTTGCTCGTCATGATAAAATACGAGGCCGTAGAGGCAGTTTGGAAGGAAATAAAGAGCGTTGCTTGTGAGGGGCCAGCCACAACGGTGCTCTGCAGGAAGTGCCACACTTTGATATGCTCTGTCATCATCAGCATTTTTATTGGCTACATGAAGGAGGAGAAATTATATTAACTTAAAAAGAGATTCTATTTGCAGAAAAACGCATGCACTAGTAACTCAGCGTGGCCAGGTTAAACCTCTCGAGCTTTTTGCCAGAGCAGTGCAAACCACAACACTTAAAAATCTATTCAAAAGGAACTTTAGATTTTTCTTTATGTGTGTGTGTGTGTGTGTGTTAAAATTAAAGGTAATTTACTCATCGGATATCCTCTGAGTATGACTGAGGAGCGGTATTCACAGCATTTTTATTCTCTGCTGAATGCCACTGAAAACAGAATCAAGAGCTGTGTTTCGATACCACACAGCGACGTTATTGTGCGCTTTCAGGTCATTAAGAAAAAATAAGCTTCCCAAAGACAGGTAGAGTGAGTTGGTAAAAAGTTTACATCTGTGATTGTCATGTGTCTGATCTGATCCAGGAGAGCATGGCTTTACCATTCGCAATCATTTGCACAAAGAAAACAAAGAAAGGGCAAATGATACAGTACTGTACCTCCATGGTCTGAGACTGGTGCATGGCTTTGATTGCATTCTGTGCCATTGCCCTTGTAGAAAATGTGACAAACGCACAGCCTGTGGGAACAAGGGGACAGGGAGCAGGAAAGACAAAAAACAACAAGACAAAAGGGTTGGACGCTTGTTAAACCAACACAGTCTACGAGAACGGCCACAAGACGACACTGTTCTCAGTAGTACATAAAAATAAACAACTTCTCTAGTTTATTTATCGACAGTGCTGACTTGCTAATCTGACCATAGATGAAAGAAAAAAAATTAGGTGGGGATGGGTGAGAGGAAAGGTTTTTTCCCTTATTTTTTTCCTCTTTTTTTTTTTTCCATTTTATTTTTCTTGTGTTTATTCTTTAGCCACAGGGTTTGAAATAAGGCAGGCTTTTATGTAGCCTCTGGATTGCATAGTTTAGTCTATTCAGACCACGCAATAACAATTGCTTGTTACTGCTTTTGTGCAGGTAAATTGTGGATAGCGAATAAATGACTGGCATCACTGACAGCTGAACTGGGAATTTATTTAATAAAGGAGTCCATAACGTCACATATTTCCGTGATGCACCAAGAACAACCATACAAATAAGGATGAGAAAAATTCCACCGTGCAGCCTGCGACTAAGTGTGAAAAGACTCAGAAAAAATTCAGTCATGTCGGTGGAATCTCAACACTTAAGAAAATAACAGATTAAAATTAAAAAGCTTTATGATTTTTGTTTCTCCCAGTCCTAGGTACAAGTTTAATTCTTTGATCTACGAAAGCTTGAACAATTCTGAAGCTACGTGCACAAATAACTGAAAACTCACTTTTTTTCCCCTCCTCAGCCTTTTAAATCATAATGAAAAGCCAGGAGGCTAAAGTGTAGGCTATTTTTCCAGCCTTTTACTATTGTCAGTCATACCTGCACTGGGCATGGTACAGGTCAGCTTTTTCAGTGCATGACTCACTGCCCTTTTGACTAATAAAAACATTGCCTTTTGAGATTTACATTTTATTCTTCATGCACCCTTGGGCATCTTACAGAAAAAGACTGTGAAATTAATGCAGATTCAGGCTGATTTTGTAATAATACCATGGCACACTAAAAGCTTAGCTAAAGCAACACAGACTTATTTCACTTGTGATCTCTAATGACTTTAAAAGTGCATTGATTTTCAGCTCCCTTAGCCTTGCACAGTTTGAACTTAGGTTTCAGAGAATAATTTAGTGTTCCACTCAATTTCCTCAAAACATTATTATTATTACTACTTAAAAGATTTCCAAATGAAGCAAATCTAAGCACTGAGAGGCTAAAGCATATTGTCATTTTAGAGCTAATGCATGAAAGCTACATTCTGGCATCAAAAATACAATATTGTTGCCCCTGTGGCCAATGGGCAAAATAAACCATTTTGCAATCCAACAAGCAACAGATTGTTTGGTTTATGCAAATCAATTTGAGGCATAAAATACCTTTTCTTTTTTGCTCCATGTGTATCTGGTGAGATTATCAAGTCAAGACTGTATTCACATCTTAATCAAACAACAGTAAGAGAAAGCAATGCCTGATCATTACCCAAAAGCACTACATCTAGTCATGAAAATAAAGTCAATGCATTTTTGCATCATGCAGTATTGTATTTTTTTTCTCTTTAATGTAGAGGCCCTTGATACAAGAGAACCTAAGCTGCTTATGTACCTCTGACAGGTGAGCATCATAAAATCAGAAGTCAGAATTCTTCTACACAAACTCCACGGCATTGTTGTAACTCTATGTATTTCTTAGGTAATGATGAAGACTTACTAGTGTTTAGCCACATGACATGTTGCTATACTATTCTTATTCAGCAACAAAGTTCTGTCAAAGCAAATGATGTAAGAAAACAGCTTTCTGTACAGCGATCTTGACAAAATGTGCAGTATAAGGGTAAATAAACTACAGTACCTCTGCTAGATTCCATACTGCTGCTGTGCACTAAAATTAAAGAGGCCCAAATTTACCATCAGTCTCAAAGTAATCTCTCTTTATAACATTTCTGTTATTAACATTAACAGAGGAAATAACAGCAAGGGTTTTCATTGCTCGTCTTGCAAATTCAATGGGGGATGAGCACAAATAGAGATATACTGGAGGGCAGGCAAGAAACCCCATACAGAGCCTTGAATAATATTGTTTCTAATGGTCAAGAAACGGCTTCATTCACTTCTTTCGCTCTCATTATCCAGGAGTGTGTACCATAGTGACAATTACTGAATGGAGGTTTCGAATGCATAAGAAGCATGTAAAATGTCAACAAAAATCAATAAGACACAGTTTATGCATTTATCACAATTTCTACCCAGCAGTACTACTGTAAGTAACTTACTGAGAGATGTTGCAATTAGCAGGTCTCATAAGAAATGTGGATCAGCAGAGAAATAAAGCTGCACTCCTCTCAGGATAAAGCAGACTCTCTCTCCCCCCTCCCTTAAGCTTTTTCTCTTTTTAACCACAAAGCTCAGTTGTTGGGGCCTTTCAAGTGCCCAAAACTACCACAAAACCTCCCTTCTCATTCCCCAGCCCAAAGCCATTTGCACGGATTCCGTTGTCTTTGTCGTGGAGGCAAAGACCTTCGTAGAAGATCTCTGTAAAGTACCATTTAGTGAGCTACCCATTTGAAAGAAAGTTGTTCTCCAGGCAAGGGGAATGCCTGATGAATGAGGTTATGCAGCTTGAATATGAGCTTTGGAAACAGCATTCCACAGAGGAGAGGGGACTGCACTTTAATTATGCTTTGCCAGCCAGAGGCTACAAGGTCAGGTCCCCTTGTTATGTCCAGTCAGCAGGCCATTTCCCACCAATGGACAGTGGCCACTTGCACAGTAAATACCTCATAATGACTCAATAACCATGGCGAAAAATCAATAGACAACCTTATTTCTGAATGATTTGAAAACCTAGGCCTTCAGTTGTTACCACTAAGCACCCCAATTAAATTCTAGCTAATTTAACCATCTTTCCACACTGTTACAGGTATTTGCACTCAAGGGTTATTTTTCCAGCTACCAAACCTGGACACTCACACACAAAATCTGTATATTTATTATGTGTGTACATACGTTTTATTATGCATGAACCAGGGGATACTATATATTTTATCATGTGTGAACCATGGGACCCTTTCCTTCAAGACCAGACTGCCACACCAGAGGGGAGCTAAGCCTGTATCATAGGATTCAGCCCACTTAACTCCATCACTGAACTTCCGTCTGTAATTTAGGTAATCAGAAAAGCTGTACTGCTGAGATGCCTGTATTCTCTGCCTCAGTCAATGGCAGTACCCTTATTTTCCTATATAGGGTACACAGGCACTTTAGGAGGTCAGTGTTGTTAGGCACCTTGAATTTAATCAGAATTTGGTGTCTAAGGACACTGGATTTCAGTTGTTTAAGCCAGATGAGCTCTGCCTGAACCATCCTCTGCTCTTGTTGAGCCAGTTTCTGAAGGTTTGGGAAACCCCTTTTCAGTACACTGTCACTCACTGTATCTCAGGAATACAGGTGGTCTTTTGGGAACATACTGCCAGCTTAAGACCGTAAATCACAATTATACGAGGACAAGACTAATCACATTTCATGCCTCGTGGTGCAAGGAAACAAGAAAGATTTTTGTGGTCTCTTACCTCATCCTACGAAACAGTGCACTGACTGCAGTGCCGTGGGCTGATGTCTTCCAGACCAACGGCTACAAGCAAACTATTTCTGTGCTACCATACTGAGTCCTGATATTTCAATTACTCCCTTCTTACTGGAGCTATGGAGCGATTTGAGAGAGAAAATGTGGAGAGAGGGATATTTCTATAGGTAATGCCTTGAAATTGCTTTGTTTTGTACCACCAGCTACCTAACCAGAAAAGAAGAATAAAAATCCTCCTGTAAATACAGCCAACCTGCGAGTCATCTTGCAATTATTTATTGCCTCTGGTTTCAAAATGTCAGGGATCACTAACAGAGACAAAAAGGGAGGGAGAAAGGAGGTTTAAGAGTTTGAGTTGTTTCTCCAAGGCTGCCTTCTCAACCCCTGCACCAGATAAATGATTGACTGCGGAAAGGCTGCTTGAAGTGACCTCCTCCTGCAGGTACAATTGGATGCTGGGACCCAGCCCTGCCACAGAAGATCCTTTGAGCACATTGTCACATTCACCATCTCAGCTGGGAGAACATCTAAACTCACAGGGTTGGTCCTTACTCCCATCCCACCCCAAACTGAAAGGGAATTTTGAAGAAACTATGGATTTGTCAAGCTTCCTCCTCAACCTGTGTCATCCCAAACCTCAGGCTTGCTGCTCGAGCAACTGAATTACTTGAAATGCTTAAACAAACTCAGCATTGCCCCATTTCAGCTCCCCCTCCACTCAATTCTTCTCATCTCAGGCTTCCATAGACTGTTTTGAAATGTTCAGTCAGCAGTTCATGCATCAACACAACATCATAACACAACATCAACACTTGCGAGCTGCAAGTGAAGCAGAACATTTTCAAGTATGGAAGCCTCAAGGTAAGGGGGCTGATTTCATACCTACACAAGAAACCACATAAAACTACCATGGGCTACCAGAGGTTTTAAAGCCCAAACCCTCAGTGAAGCCAAAGGGAGATGCAAAACCCCTGGACATGTTTGAATCAGGCCTAGAGTTAAAAATGGAAGTTTAAAACCAATGCTTTAAAGTTCTAGATATGAAAGGCAGATGTAATCAATTATAAAGAAAATAAATGCACAGTGACCCCTTTGACACAAAAGGAGGTTCAAGAGATTTTCAAAGCCACATGAGCAACTGCAGTACTATGTATGGTGGCTGCGCAGCTGGTGGTGTAAATGGTTCACCATAAACAAGGTTTTTCTTCCATTTCTGTGAAGAAACAATAGTGAAAAGCTGCCAAAATACTCCTGCAAGAAGTATTTGGGATCCTCTGAGATGAAAGCCTCTATTTAGAGAAAAGATAAGGCTCGAATAAAAAGCTATGGAAATTGAAGCGTGATAAAAATAAGCTTCAGTTGTGTTAAAATATTTCTAGCTGAGGTTGCAAAGTAGACTTTC